GCCTATTATTTTCTCTAATCCCCTTTCCCCTCCCTTATTCCCTTCCTTGATACCCCCTACTATATTCATATCATATTTTTTACATTAAAATGATTCATATATGAAAAAAATGACTTATCCTACTTATCCTTCTGAGTGACTTAGTTTGTTTAACATAATGATCTCTAGTTCCTTTCATCTTCTTGCAAATGACATAATTTCATTCTTTATGAATGAATGAATTCATTTAATCCACTGATGGTCATCTATACTGATTCCACAACTTGATATCATACTCTTCCTGGACCTTCAAATTTCTCATGAGAAATTTGCTGCTATTTTTCTAATAACTCATTATTTCTCTCTGGCTTTTTTCAAAATTAGTTTTTCTCTAGTATTCATAAGTTTATTGGGTCTAGACATGAATTTCTTTGGGTTCTCCCATTTATCATCAGCTTTTTAAGTATGCAGTTTTATGCCCTTCCCAAACTTGAGAAAACATGCAATACTTGTCCTTCTAAGTGGTTTATTTCTCTTTATATTATGAATTCCATTTGCATCCAAATATGGGAAGTTATCTGTCATCATTTCTTTGAAAACTCACTCATCCTCTCTCTATTCTATCTTTCTTGAACTCTGATGATACCAGTGTTGGGTATTTGATGTTGTCCAACAGGTCCTTGAAGTCAGTCTTCTTCTATTTCTCTTAATTTTCTCCTAGTCTTTTCCCCTCCTTCTCCTTGCATAGATAATTTTATTTCTGTTATTAATAATACAAAATTTCCATTTTTCTATTCTCAATTTCATTGAATTGATCCTTTTTCATCTTCTAGTATTCAGGCCATTCTGTGAGTTTTTTATTTTATCATTGTATATAATTTTCATTTAGTTTTATTTTTAAGATGACCTGTGTGTTTTCTATGAGTTTTTTCTTTTTCATCCCACTGCCCTCCAGTTTTAATTGGTACATTATAGTTGTACATACTGATGGGATTTGTTGTTACATACATACCACACTATACAATATAACAATATAATTTGGCCACTACCACTTCCCAGCACTTTCCCCTCTCTCTTCAATTTCCAACCCATGGTCTCTTTCCTTTACTAATCTCCTTTTGATTTTAATGAGATCTGCCTCCATCTTTCTTTTCCTTTTCCTCTCTAGCTTCTGCCTATAAGAGAAAACATAGGATCTTTAACCCTTTAAGTTTGACCTATTTCACTTAGCATAATGATCTCCCGTTCCATCCATTTTCTTGAAAGTGGCATAATTTCATATTTTTATGGCTGCATAAAACTCCACTGATATATACCACATTTTTTATCTATTCATCCATTGATGGATACCTCTGCTGGTTCTATAGTTTGTCTATTGTGAATTGTGCTGCTATAAACATTCATGTGCATGTATCACTGTAGTACGATGACTTTAATTCTGCAGGATAAATACTGAGGAGTGGTATAGTGGGATTATGTGATAGTTCCATGCCTAACCTTTTATAAACTTATTTCCATAGTGGTTGCACTAATTTACAATCCCACCAACCGTGTAAAAGTATTCCTTTTTCTCCACATCCTCTCCAGCATTTATTATTTCTGTTCTTGATGACTGCCATTCTGACTGGTGTGAGATGAACTCTCAATGTAATTTTGATTTGTATTTCCCTAATTACTAACAAGGTTGAACATTTTTTTCATCTATTTCTTGGTCATTTGTATTTCTTTTTTTGAGGAGTGTCTATCTCATTCGTGTGCCCATTTGTTAATTAGATTACTTAAATTTTCTTGTGTAAAGTTTTTTGAGCTCTTTATACATTCTAGATATGAATTCTTTGTCAGAAGAGTAGTTTGCAGAGATTTTTCTCCTTCTGTGGGTCCTCACAACACATTCTTAATTGTTTCCTTTGATATGCAGAAGCTTTTAAATCTGATGCCATTCTATTTTTAACTATTGGCATGTTTCCTGAGCTTTAAGCATCCTATTGAAAAAGTGATTGCCCGTGCCTACATATTAGAGTGTTGACACTACTTTTTCTTCTAGGAGTTGCATAGTTTCTGGTATACTTATCAGATCTTTGATCATTTTTTGAGCTGAGTTTTGTGTGAGATAAAGGGTGAGAGATAAAGAGTCTAGTTTCATTCTTCTACATATGGATAACCAATTTTCCCAACACCATTTGTTTAAAATGCTGTTTTTTTTTCCTCCAATATATGTTTTTGGCACCTTTGTCAAGAATCAGATGATTGTAGATGTGTGGATTTGTCTGTGTCTTCTGTACTGTTGGTCTTTGTGTCTGTTTTTATGCCATTGCTGTGCAGTTTTTGTTATTATAGCTCTGTAGTATAATTTGAAGTCAGGTATTGTAATGTCTCCAGTATTGCTTTTTCCCCCTCTTTGGTTTAGAATTGCTTTGGCTATTATAGGTATTTAATTATTCCAAATGAATTTTAGACTGTTTTTTTCTAGTTGTGCTGAGGGCCATTGCTAAGTAAGAATGATGCATGGCATGACCCAGGTCATTTGCAGTGTCATTGCATGTAAGGCATAGTTGTATGAAGAATGTCATTGGTAATTTTGATGGGGATTTCATTGAATCTGTATATTGCTTTTGAGAGTATTGCCTTTTTATTAATATTAATTCTACCTATCCATGAACATGGGAGGTTATTTTTCATTTTTTAAAATAAAACTTCTAATTGCTTTTGAGACATGTCTATTATAGCTATTTGAATTTTCTGTTAATAATTCCAATATTTTCCTCTGTTGATATTGGTATCAATTAATGGTCTATTCTCACTAAGGATGACATTTTCTTTGTTCTTCATGTGAGTAATTTTCAACTGAAGCTGAGACATGCTGGCTATTTTATTGAGACTTTGGATATCATTTAAAGCTTTTAAACTTCTATTTTTGTTGTCACTCATCTTGTTTAGGTTTAGTGCTCAGGTCTTTTGTTACCTGAATTGTTGCCAGTTGTGGTTCCACAAAAAAAATTTATTTTTGGAGGTTTTGCTGTGCGATTTTGATCTACCTGATTTATTTAATGATATGGGGGCCTTCTGATGATCTTTTTTACTTTTTGTTTGAGCTGCTTTATTAGCTCAGCTGCCCTGGTGTCCCTAGGTGAGGGAAGAGTTTATGATCCAAATGGACAAAGAGCACTTCACCTGGCCTCTTGTCAGCTTGGCTTCTGTGCAATCCTTATCCTTTTTCAGGAGTTTCTGGGTTCACCTGGTATTGTCAGTGATCTGGTGAAGAAGTGAGCCTACTTTCTGTTCATGGGTTAGGTATAAGATGCTTTACTGCTATGTTGTCACTTTAGTTCCTGAGTCTCTAATGTGTCTAGCTTCCTCTTTCCACCATTCAAAGTTCTTCCATGGTTGCCAGTTGTTGTATTTCCAGGGGTTTAAATTATCTTTAGTAGGAAGAGCAGGAAGAGACATATTTATGTTATTTTATCCAGACCTACTCTTTGAGCCTTCATACCATAAATCCTTATTTAAGCTGTTGACTCACCAAACATAAGGCTTCATGCACTTGTCTGAATCCTGGGAAATGGCAAAGAACAGCACACAGATGATTGAGTTCTATTTGTTGCAAGATATAGGCATGATCAAGTCATCAGATTATGATCACTCATGTGAAGGATGCTCCTTTTTGTTGCTCAAGTCCTAAGTCTGAAAGACAGGTCTAGCTAAACTTCCTCAGAATCTGCTTAAACCTAATAAACTCTTATTCATCTGAGCAAATGTCACCTCCAGTGGGGACTCACTTGACATTTAATCATTCTCTCTTTTGTGATAGTTTGACCATGCTCTTCAATAGCTGTACTTTTCCCAATGAAATGTATTTATTTTTTTCTTTCAATGAAATATATTACTTATTTTATTCTGTATTGTCAGTGAGTTATTGAAAGTCCACCTCTTGGTTAAATCCTACATGTGTTTTTTGATGTCTGACCATAGGCCATTACAAATGCCTTGTCTGACAAGCCTCATGAGAATAAGCTGTTCTCCCCATACTCAGACTTGGTGCACAGAAAATGCATGCATTCCCTGGAGATGTAATCAAGGATTCAGACCTTCCCATTGTCTCATGCTCTTGCACATATTTTCATTCCTAGTCTGGCTGCCTTTGTTCTTAGGTCGTTTTATTTGAGGGCTTGGACAGAAGTTTTTTTTAGGTGCCTTTGTGGAGGACTTCTTATGAGGGCAGGGACTGCGTACTTGAAGACACTTTTCCCTCTCCAATTAGTATCCTGTGATTTCTCTATCCTTTGTTGCTTCCTACAGTGTTTAATTATGCCACTTTTTATAGCAATAAAGTTATCTATTTATTTTACTAGTACTTTGAAACATTTGACATTAGCTTTGTTAATCTACACAGTCTTTCTATTTCCATAAGTCTTTTTCAGTGATTTCCATATTTCTGTTTTCTAGCCTTCCCCCATGTCCCGTTCACAAAATCAGAATTCATAAAACTGCTTGTCCCTTTGTTTGGGGCTCCTTTAGTAGCAACACAATTGTTGCCTGCATTGGTGCACTTGATCCTGGACCAGCCTGCCATTTCATGGAAGAAAAGGGAATGGGGAGTTGGCAAGTTCTTAGTTTTAGCTTTTTTTCTTATACTATGACAGTAAATGATTAAAGGCATCACTGCACTGTTATTTTTATTTTGACTCATTTTTGCTTTAATGAGCTACTGGAAGACATGACAGCTTAGCTTTTTCCACTTCAGTTGACCTTCTGAAAATTTCCTCATTAGAAGGATCTATCTCTATCTTATTCACATATTCATATTTAGTGCTTAGAAATACCTAATCATGTAATAAATTCATATTCATATGTGGTATTAATAAATACCACATAGGTATTTGCAGGTGTGTTGTAAGTGTATGTATATGCAAGACAAAAATAGGGGGGTGAGTTATGACTATGGAATTGATGGACCTGGATTAGAACAGTTATGGCCTTGGGATATTATCTTCATTTTAATCTTTTTCTTCTTTTCTCCCCAGCACTGGGCTCAGGTTCTCTCATTTCTATAATGGGATTTGTTAATGGAGGCATTCAGCTACTATCCTCAGGTTGGTTATCCCAGCCCACAGTGAAGTGGAAAGGCCTGCTGGGACATGATTTATCTTCAGATTCCAAGGTAACTGCAGACAGACATAGCCCATTTGTTGTCAACTCCTCATTTGTAGTCCAAGAGAATGTTGGAAGCATATCATACTCCATTCAGCACCCTGACCCTGACCTGAGCCAAGAGTTAGAATCCAGAGTATGGATAAGAGGTGAGTAGGGAGGAGAAAGAGGAGTAGGGGTGCATGCTTGGGTAACCCAGAGGGAGACTAGGAGCCTTTCTGTTTCTAATTCTTGTTTAATATTGACCAGTTTTAATGATTCATTTTGAAAGTCAAGGTTAATGTGATATAAACAATAAAATAATTACTGGGCACAGTGGCACACACCTGTAATCCCAACTTCCTAGGGGGCTGAGCAAAGAGAATTTCAATTCTGAGGCCACCCTGGGCAACTTAGTGAGACTGTCTCAAAATAAGAAAAGGACCAGGGCCATAGCTTAGTGGTTTAGTGCCTTCTTAGCATGTATCTCTTGGATCAATCCCCAGAATTGAACAATAATTTCAACATAACAACAACAACAGGTAGAAACAGACTTGTTTACAATTCCAGAGAAGTTGGATTAAGTATTTTCTTTGCTACATGATCAGTGTATGGGGCACCCCTCCAAATTCAACTCTTAAAAAAACTTAAGAATTTGCATTAACTCTAGGAAAAAGGGGAAAAGTTTACTTTTAATAAGTTTATTAATTTTAAAGAAAATATATTGTCATTGCCTTATGAAACTGAATAAAATTTAAAATGTAGAAATTTTCATGAAGATTTTAAGAGAATAGGTTAATTCATGTAGATCCAAATATGTCAGTAATTACTATGTAAAACATCCTAATTTGTCAGTTAAAAGAGAAAGATTGTAGATTGATTTTTTTTTAAAAAAATTTGTTTTAAAAATTTTAAATCAATGTAGGAGAAAAATCTAATAATGTGCAATATTTTGTTTTAGATGCTGACGAACCTTCATTTTATTTATTTATTTGTATGCGGTGCTAAGAATTGAACCCAGTGCCTCACACATGTCAGGCAAGTGCTCTACTGAAGAGAACTGGGGGGAAGAATAGACAAATAGTAACCAAAGGCATACCATCATAGATACATTAGTATCTATGATACTATACAAAAGAAAAAGAGGAGAGCTTTAAGATGATGGAATAGAGGAGGTTGCTTTCTGGCTGCTCTGCTCTCTTTTGTTTTGAGACCAAAAAAACAGACAGGCAGCTTCTCAGCAAAGTGGTTGAGAAAGGTGAAAGGGCTTTCCTGGGAGTTAATACTGGACATTGAAGGCAGATTAAGGACTCAGGAGGTTGGATATAATAGAATAAGAAGAACTCTGCATTGCTATTGCTGTTGCTGTTGCCAGTCAAATCAGCCCTCCATGAATGAGAAAAGTGGAGGGATGAGGAAGTTAAAGGAACCCATAGTTTTAGGAGGCCTGTTCAATGTTTGGGTATGGAGAGATCAGCGATCAAAGACACAGCTGGACTAACCAGAAAGGTGTGTTGCACAATATCCTTGTGTGGGAAAGAAGCCACACCTGTCCTGGCAACCCAGAGAGGACAGAGACATTTTGCAGCTGCACCATGGGAGCCAGCAGCTGGGGGAGCCCATTCCTGGCAAACCCAAGTTGGGCCCCAAATATAGGCCTGGCAAAACCATACCACATGACCTAGAGAATGCCTAAGTGACCTGGAGAAAATCAAGCTTGGAGAAGGGTTTACACAGGGGAATACATGAATTTACAAGGGCAGGATTGAGTTTGGAGCCTGAATCCAAGAGACTAGGAAATGTGAGATCTGCAGATGATGGAAAGGACAAAGGATTGGCTCCTTCACTGCATGAGTGGAACCTAGGGGAGATTCCTGGGGTGCAGTCTCCCAGTGTGGAGAGCAACTGCTGGGCCCTGAATGTGTGCTGATTGAAAAGTTTCAGACCAATCACCATTCCAAGAACCTGGAACCTACCTAGGCCCAAACCACACCTCCAGGAACTCTGCCTATGGGATCTCCTCTCACACTCTACTGACCCCATCCTGAAGGTGGAGCAGACATCACACTCCAACCCACTCCACCTAACACTGTGGAGAAGGGAAGCCAAGAATTTTAAAAAGCACCATTAGAAACAATTCTTTGACTTTTCATTGAGATCTTTTTTCCCCTTTCTCTGTTTCATTGTGATCTGAATGATTCATGGACATGATACATATACATATGTGTCTTTTTCCCCCTCCTTTCTAGCGTTTTTTGAAGGAAGTTACTTTTCATGGCTTAGTATCTTGAGGGCTAGGATGTTTGATTAGTATATTTCTGTTTTATTTTGTATTCTTTTATTTTTATTTTTTTAAGAGAGAGAGAGAGAGAATTTTTTTTATTTTTTATTTTTTTTAGTTTTTTCAGCGGACACAACATCTTTGTTTGTATGTGGTACTGAGGATCTAACCCGGGCCGCACGCATGCCAGGCGAGCGCGCTACCGCTTGAGCCACATCTCCAGCCCCAATATTCTTTTATTTTTTATTTTAAAATTTTATTTTTTAAATTTTTACTTCTTAATATTTTAATTTTTATTTTGTATATATTTGTCTTCTCACTTATCTATTTCCCTTGATTCTTTTTTCCTTCTGCTAATAGCCAAACTCTTTGTTCTCTCTTTTACTCTTCCTTTTTTTTTTATATTTAAAATTTCTAAAATATTTTCTGTCCTCCCTCATAATCTTCACATCCTATATCTCATCTCTTCTCTCCTGGTTCACCATTTAAAATTACAAACCCTTTTACAAACTTAATGTTTTTACTATGGGCAATAATTGATCACATCATTTCTGTTTATAGTGACAATTAACATTGTAAATGTCATAGTAGAAACTAGTTGGTTTAATGCTGTACATCATTTGCATTGGTTGTTATCATTTGTCTCCCCCTGAACTGTGAGGTACTGGAAACTTTCAGGGACACAGTAAGTTCATAAGGTAGAAAAATCTATAAATCTAGGTATGTGTAGGTTATCCATCGGGGGGCATAAATACTGATGACAGTTATTTCTTGTTGTATGGTTCCCTTAAGCAGTATTAAATGAACTTCTTGGTCTTCTGATTAACTTGGCTTTACGTCCACTTTATCTGCTATGAGGATAAAAAACCCTGCTTGTTTATGAAATCTATGTGAATGATATATTTTTTTCCCAGCCTTTTACCTTTAGTCTGTGGATGTCTTTGCCTATGAGGTGAGGCTGTTGGAGACAGCATATTGTTGGGTATTGTTTTTTAATACAACCTGCCAGTCTATGTCTTTTGATTGATGAGTTTAGTTCATATATATTCAGTGTTATTATTGAGAAATGATTTGTATTCCATCATTTAAATTTATTTCTGGTTTTTAATTTGAATTAGTTTCTCCTTTGATCATCTATTCTTTTAGCATAATTTCTTCCTTTATAGTTTTCACTTTTGTTTTTTATTTCTTCTTCATAAAATATTTTATTGAGTATGTTTTGTCATGCATACTTTCTAGTTGTGAATAACTTTTGTTTATCATGGAAGGTTTTTATTTCATTGTCAATTCTGATGCTTAACTTTGTTGAGTATAGTATTCTTGGTTGGCATCCATTTTCTTTCAGATCTTGGTATATATTATTCTAAGACCTCCTAGCTTTGAGAGTCTGGGTTGAGAAATCAGCTGAGATCTGGATTAATTTCCCTCTAAATGTGACCTGTTGTTTTTCTCTGGCAGCATTTAAAATTTTATCTTTACTTTGTATTTTAGGCATTTTTATAATAATGTGCTTTGGTTGATGTGGGTCTTTTGTAATTTTGTATATTGGGGATCTGTATACCTCCTCTATTTGATTTTCCTTTTTATTTATTAAGGCTTGGGAATTTTTCTGATATTATTTTATTCAAAACATTATGCATTCCTCTGGTTTGTATCTCCAAGCCTTCATTTGTCTTGATCAATCTTAAATTTGGTCTTTCCATGTTATCCCAAATTTCTTGAAAGTTCTCTTCATGATCTCTTAACATCTTTTCTCCATGGCCAACTTTATTTTCAAGATGATATATTTTGTCTTCATTGATTGCTATGTCTTTCAAGTAGTCTAGTCTGTTGGTAATGCTTTCCACTGAATTTTTATCTTGGTTTATTGATTCCTTCATTTCAAGTATTTCTACTTGATTTTTTCCCCAGAATCTCTATCTCTTTTTTGAAGTAATCTTTCATATCCTGTACCTTCTCTCTTATTTTACTCTTTACTCATACTTTACCTTGCAGATCAGTTTATGTATTCTAAACTCCTTCTCTGACATGTCTTCCATTGTGGTATTGATGGAATTCTGTTATTGAAGTATTTTGATTTGTTTGGGGCAGTTTTTTTTCACTTGCTTTTTCATGTTGTTTGTGTGTCTACTCATCTAACAGTATGATCTGAGGCAGAAGACTTTCTACCCTATGAGCTTATAGTGATCTTGAAAGTTTCCAGTACTTCACAATTAGAAGGAAACAATAACAATAACCAATGCAAACAGTATACAGTATTAAACTAAATATTTACTTCCTACTATGACATCTACAATTTTAACTGGAACAATAATCAGGAATTGTATGGTAAGCAATTACCAACAGTAAAAACAATAAGTTTGCAAAATTGTTTGCAATTTCAAAAGGTAAACAAGGAGAATGCAGAAGAGATTTAGGATGTGACGACAGTGAGGGAGTAAGAGAAAAAATAGAAATAAAAAAATAAAGGAAGAGTGAAGAGAGAACAATAGAATTTGTCTGCTAGCAAAAGAAAAGAGAGAAAGAGAATCAAGAGGAAAAAGACAAGTGAAAAACAAAACAAAACAGAGCAAAAATATAGTAATCCAAAATCCTTAGTCCTCAAAAGACAAAGCCATGAAAAATAACTATGTTCAAAATATGCTGGAAATGAGAAAAGAGAGACAAATATGTATATGCATAAATGTCCATGAATCATTTTCAGCACATAGACAAAGAGAGAGCAAAAGGAAAAGAAAAAAGAGATTCTTGATGAAAAATTAAGGACTTGTTTTCATTGCAGTGGTCAAAAATTATCAAGAAGAATATGTTTCATAGCAGCACAATTCACAATAGCAAGACTGTGGAACCAACCTAGATGCCCTTCAATAGATGAATGGATAAAAAAAT